GTTTCCTAGGGAACCCAACCTACAATGGCTTTTCCTCTAGATTTAAAATATAAGACAGTAATCATATGTGTACATAAATAGATAATGAGAATAGAGAATAAAGCAAATGGGGAAAATGTTAACAATTGGCGAGTCAGGATGAAAACCATATGGGCATTCTTTGTACTATTCTGGTTACTTTTCTGTAAATTTAAAATTATTACAAAATGAAAGTTAAAAAAAATGACAAGTACCAACTACTTTAAGATGCCCAACTATGTGCCAAGACAACAAAATTGGAGTCAAGTTTCCAAATTCACAATTCTGTAAAAGTTATAAACTTAAGCACCATGAGACTTTACTGAGATCTTACTAGTTCTTCCTTAGCCCACTGAATATTTTCTATGATGCAATATATTTGTCTGTTACCAAAAATTAATTTTGTTAAGCAAATTATTTAATTTGCTTGCATTACACCTGAAAGGACCTGCTTATGGGATGCTAAGTAATAAATGGAACAGTTTGGAAATCTGTTCAACTTACGGAGCACTGCATTTCCAAAATGTGCTGGTGCATTGTTAATGCCTGATAGTTTGAATGTCAGTTTGACATCTCATCTAATAAATATCACAGGGTTTGCCAGTTCTGCTTTGTGGTATTATCTGAGTGGTACAGGCTCAGCGGGATGTACAGCTTCTTTCTAGATAGTTTCCACAAAGTACTTAAAACCTTGATTCAAAGCAGTCGTCTTTGAATGACTCAGTGGCTTCATTTCCTGCAGCATCATTACTTTTTCCTCTGAGGTTTCTCATTCACATACCGGTCTTTGTTGGCTTGTGACTTCCCTGTGTCAATTGATAAGTAGCTTACAAGACCAAAGGGACGCCATTTCCACTAAGGAACTATAAGAAACTTAATGTATGTTCTCTCCTTCTACTTGCCTGTGAAAATCCAGAAATTAATGTTGTGTGATTACCAAATCTAATTAAGCATACCTCACATCCAGTGTTATGCTATCTGATACTAAAAGAAAAATTTAATGAGTTTCTATGGACCCACTATATTCTAATTGCTTTCTTTCTTGCCTCATAAGATAACTTAAGATAGATTTACAACATTTTGGCTATTCTAGGCCAAAATGCATCTCCAATATGCAAGATATTGTTTCTCACAATTCTTGCTATTCTTCAGTTTCTTTCACAATTTACTTCAAACTGACCTTATGAAATTTTTACTGATCTACTTCTATGATGTCTAAAACCTAAGTCCATATGATTTCAGAGATAATTTGGCTGCTGAATGCCCAGGGAGTGATAATGTAGTTCCTGATTAAATCCAATAAAAGTAGATAGATGATCTAAGCCCAAGTCACCACTCTTTGCCAATATTAATTACAAAATCTCCAGGCCCCAAATAAGCTCATTTTAATTATTCACTTTTATGTGAAGTTAAAACAAAATGAAAAGTTACAACCATAAATGAAAAATTCTTATTTCTTTGGTATCTCTGGCATCTACCATACTTTCTCTTTTTGCCCATGTACTTCCTTCTGCTTAGAGTAATTTCTTCCTCTACACCTGCTGGAACCCTGGCCATCCTTCAAAGCCTTGTTCAAATTTTACTTCCTTTTCGTGGCTGTTTCTTTTTACTCTAGTACACATTGCTGTTCTCCTCCTTAGCGTATCTGTTCCTAAAATGGATTAATTCAAGAAAGTTTAGCATATAATTGTTCTCTGTTTCCTGTAATTCTGTATGTTAGATTTATATGCCTAGACAGGCTATAAACTTCTTGAAGGTTAGGACTGTGTCTTGTATTACTGCTTTTCAGCATTTTTTTTTTTTGCATAACCCCTAAAATGATTTTGAAACACTGTGTACCTCCTCACACATTTTTAAGTTGATACATGAAGTTTTACAGGTATAAATAACTGCAAAGGATATAATTCTGACACATTGTAAATATTGACATTAAAGACAAAAGAAAAAACAAGCAAACTGTTAAGTTATATCAATCTTTTAAATGTATCTAAAGGAACCTAAATATCATTGTGATTGATACCTGTAGTCATTCATCTGAAAAAAAAAATACATGAAGTCCTTAACTATTAAAATTTTACAATATTCCCTTTTCTCTTTGAAGTCATATTTTTATTCCACATTTCTTGCAGAATTTTATTCTAATATAAAGTATTTTTATGCTTGGAAATCTTCTCTATGTCAAATAGATATAAAATTATTTTTCTAAATTTTCTCTGACCAAAGGTTTTAATATGTCTTCTAGATTGACTTATTACAATTATTGTTAGTATGCAGTCAATCAAAACCACATAAATGCATTATAAATTTGTATGAATACTTGTCAAATATAAAGAAAATAATTTTATTAGAAATACACGCTTTTATGAGATACTCAGAACTGCTAGTTTACCCACATAGGAATGTGGCTGATTGCTAGCTACAAGCAGGGCTCTGCAGAAATCCTGCCTCTGCTTTATTTACATTTGTACAAATATAAATGCCGAGAAAACTTGTTCACCTAAATTATAGGTGGGACAAGAAGGTGCTTTATTATAGCAGTCAATCAATTCTATGAATTCCTTCCAAGTAATATGCTGAAAATTATATAGTGATTTATTATAAAAATATATTTTTATCTCATGTTGACTGTTAACTTGATGGAGTCTTTCTTCAGTGTTTCTGAGAGCAAAGAATTGGAAACACCCTACTTAGAAAAAGACTTATTAAGCAGTCATAAGGAGTAATTTATCAATTCTGGGAACGATACCAAAACAATCCTTAATAAAATTTATTAAATAACTATTAATTAAACCTGTTACACTTTAACCCAGTATACTCAGAAAGTGCAAGAAAAATTAAAATATTAATTGCAATATACCTGTCAATACAATTTTTTGAGAAAATGATTTTATTGTATCATATGCTTTAAATATGCTTTCATTAACTCTATAGAACCTCAGATTTGGTTCATCCAATTTTTGGAAAATATTTATCATATAACCTAGTTGGCAAAGCCAATTCTCATTGTCAAGACAATTAGCCAAATCAGATTTAAAGTTTTTTTCAGAAAATATCTTATTTATTCAAATAAATGTATAAATAGATGTCCTCATTGTCTTCATACTCCTGAATCCTTTTCTAAGACAGATGCCAAAGGCATGAAGCCTCGTCAGGAGTTTGTTGCATTGGTGACATATGGTGCCCCTGCCTCCCATGCTTGCCTGGCTTTGCTCTCAGGGGACCCTTCCTTAGGAATGATGCATTCTTTGATAACAGGTGAGGAATGAAAAACACAAGGACATTAGATAAAACTTGTCATCTGTCCTGCTGCCCTATACGGTATCAGAATACCAAACATGCTGACGTGGACCAAAATACCTTATTACTTATGCCATGCTTTCCCATTAAAATAAATGTGTGGACGGGACAGAACTTGAAGGCTCTCCATCAGTTTTTTTCTGCTTTGATTAGAGGCTTTCTCTATGTTAGTATTTTTAACTATTGTTTGGTGCCTTAGAGGTTCTTATGCTTGGGAAGAGGTATCATAATAAGATGGGTGAGGATATGCCTTTCTTCTGTAAAATGGGAGAAAATCAATTATTAGAGAGAAGGGGGAAAGAACTAGCTTGATACCTCTGTGTAGCTGCATTCTCAGGTGGATCAGTTTTTGGAAAGAACATAGGTGGAAGTTGTGGATCTGGAAGTTGATTCCTTGAAAACTGTCTATGCCCACCTAGCCCTTGGGAAGTCTTTACATATCCCCAGTAGTGTGTATATACCAAATTGAAGGTAGTTTTCTTACACTTATTGTACCCAATGATATGCTGAAATAGAGTTGGTACTACTACTTTCAGGTAAGACTTTTTAGAGTTGGTAGTAATATATAGTAGTTAACATAGGAAGGGAAAGATTAGGACTGTAAAAATAATGTTTAGCAAAAAGATATAAACAGAAATATCAGCTTATTTTCACTGGTTGTATTAGTGCATTCTCAAATTGCTGTAAAGAACTATCTGAGATTGGGTAATTTATAGGTTTGGTTGGTTCATGGTTCCACAGGCTGTACAGGAAGCATGTCTGGGAAAGCCTCAGGAAACTTACAATCATGGTAGAAAGCAAAGGGGAAGCAAGAATGTCCTACATGGCTGGAGCAGAAGGAAGAGAGCGAAGCGGGAGGTTGTACACACTTTTTAACAACCAGATCTCATGAGAACTCACTATCACAAGAACAAGGAGGACATCTGTCTCATGATCCAGTCACCTCCCATGGGGCCCCTCCTCCAACACTGGGGATTACAAATTGACATGAGACTTGGGTGGGGACACAAATCCAAACCATATCACTGGTGTATTTTCTTATGCTCAAAACAAAAATTTAAAATTGTGCTGAGTTCTTTAATAATCTATACATTTCTGATCAGTTTCTCCTAGAACACATCAAATTCACATTGCAGTAATAAAGTTCTTTAAAATACTGCTTAATTGTAGCTCTCATTCCTGCTTTCTTAAAATTTTATTTGAATAGTTTTCACTTTTTCAAACTCTATTTTCTATATTATATTACACCTTATTTTTTAAAAAAGATGACTTGGTAATAAGAGTTGTTAATGTGGGAAAGGGCTAGAATTTAAATTATTTTTCTAAATTTTCTCTGACCAAAGATTTTAATATTTATTCTAGGTTGACTTATTATAATTATTGTTAGTATGCAGTTAATCAAAACCACATAAGTGCATTATAAATTTGAATATTTGTTAAATATAAAGAAATTAAATTTTCTAAAGAATTTAAGTTGTATTTATAAAATCAGTCTGAACTTCTTACTTATTACAAAGAAGCATATTAAAGTGACTAACATTCATAAGTTACCGTTGGCAGACGGTTTATATTTAGCAGGAAAAAAAAAGGTATCTTCAGAAGTGATTAACTTATAAATTGTGAACTAATATAAAAACATAACTGAGTTTTGCCAAAGTAAAATCTTAGCTTTATATTGTTGACAGAAAACATGTGCAAGGCAGGATTGAAACAAGAGCATTGCCAAGATATTCATTATCCTACAGAAACTATGCTGTCCCAGGAAACACTTCCACTCAAGATTCAGGGTTGGAAATCAGCAGAGGTAAGTCACTGTCATAGTTTCCTACAGCTGATGTAAGAAATTACTGCAAATTTTGTGCCTTAAAATGAACAAATGTATTATCTTCTAGTTCTGTATGTTAGAAGCCTGACCCAGGGCTCACTGGGCTAAAATCAAGGTGTCTGTAGGGCTGTGGTCCTTTCTGGAGGCCCTAGCAGACAATCTGTGTTTATGTTTTGGGTTTTATTTTTGTCTTTTGCAGCTTCATGTGTTCCAAGAGAAATTGTGCTTGTCTTTTAACTTTGCTTTTGGTGTCTATTGTTATACAGGGCTTTAAATATTAATAAGGTCAAAATATCAAAATTTTCTTTTATGGTCTGTGCTTTTTAAAAAAATCTTAAGGAATTCTTTTTTACCCTAATAAAAATCTCTTATTTTTCCTTCTAAGTGTTGAGGTCCTTAGGTCCTCTAGAATTTTCCTATATAGCATAAGATAGAGTTCTTCTTTGTACCCTTGTAGATAGGCAATATTTAATTTATTGAATAGTCTTTTTTTACTCATTAAAAATAATTCTTGGCTGGATGCGGTGGCTCACGCCTGTAATCCCTGCATTTTGGGAGGCCAAGGTGGGGGGGTCACGAGGTCAAGGGATTGAGACCATCCTGGCCAACATGGTGAAACCCTGTCTCTACTAAAAATACAAAAGTCAGCTGGGCATGGTGGTGCATGCCTGTAGTCCTAGCTACTCAGGAGCCTGAGGCAGAAGGATTGCTTGAACATGGGAGGTGGAGGTTGCAGTGAGCCGAGATAGTGCCACTACACTCCAGCCTGGGGACAGAGGGAGACTGTCTCAAAAAAAAAAAAAAAAAAAAATATATATATATATATATATATATTTCATAATATAGATATATTTCATAATATAGATATATTTCATTATATATATATATATATATATATATATATATATAGTGAAATAATTATATACTCACAGGAAGTTGCAAAAATAATACAGAGTTCTGCTTGCCCTTCTCTCAGTTTGCACTGTTTGCGTCTTATATGGAAATAATGTTGGCATCTTGTATGATTGCAGTGCAGCATAAAAACCAGGAAACAGATACTGGTATATTTGTGCCAACTAGACTACAGACCTGATTCAGTGTTCAGCTTTTCAATCCACGATTCAGTTTTTTGAACTTGCATTTGTGTTTTTGTGTGTGTGGTTCTATGTAATTTTATCCCACGCATAGATACATGTAAACAGGACCACAGGGAAGATACGGAACTGTTCCATCACCACCAAAGAAGTGCCTTATGCTACCCACCTCACTCCCAGCCCATCCTTTGGCAGTAACTAATCTTTTCTCTATCCCTGCAGTGTTTGTCATTTCTAGAATGTTGTATAAATGGAGTGAGACAGTATGCAGCCTTTTGAGATGGAATTTTTTCACTCAGTGTAATGTTCCTGAGGGCCGACAGGTCGTCGAATGTATCAGTAACTGAGTTTCTTTTTGTGGCTGAGTACGTTCTGCTGTCAGGGTTTACTGGATTTTGTTCAATCATTCACTTATTGGAGAATATTCAGATGTTTCCATTTTTAGCTCTTATGAATAAAGTTGCTGTGAATATTTGTGTCCACATTTATGAGCGAAGTTTTCTTATCTTGGGGATAAATGTCAGAGACTTGTAGGGTTGTATGGTAAGTGCATACCAAGTTTTGTAAAAAACAGTCAAGCTATGTTCCAGAGTGGCTGTACCATTTTATAGTCCCATGAGCAATGTGTAAGAGATTCACCAGCTCTGCATCCTAACCAACTTTTGGTATTACTGCTATTTTAATTTTAGCTCTTCTAATAGGTCTGTAATGATATCTCATTGTGATTTTAATTTGCATTTTCCAAATGGCTAATTATATTGAATATCTTTTCATGTGCTTATTTGTGGCATTATAAGTTATCTTTGACCTTATTCCTATGTTCACATCTTTTATCCATTTTCTAATTGAATTTTTTTTTAACCATTGAGTTTTGAGTTCTTCATATATTCTGGTTATAAGTTCTTTGTCAGATATGTGATCTGTATATATTTTCTCTCCGTTTGTGGCTTATGTTTTCTTTTTAGCAGTATCTTTCACAGAGCAAAATCTTAAAATTTCAATGAAGTCAAATTTATCAGTTTTTAAGAATCATGCTTTTGGTGTCATATGTAAGAACTCTTTGCCTAGACAAGATCACATAGGTTTTCTCCTAAAGGTGTCATTTATGTTTAGGTCTGTGATCTATTTCGAATTAATTTTTGTGTAAGATGTGAAGTATAGGTCAATGTTTTTGTTTTTTTGCCCAAGTATACCCAGTTGTTTCAACACCGTTTGCTGAAAAGACTTAAATTTCACTACAGCACGCTTCAGTGTGGTTTTCTTTTCTTTCCTCTTTCTCACCCATGGGACTTTTCAGTCGGAGGATTTCTCATCTCTATTTAGTCCTGTGAAAGTTATCTCAGATTTTCTTCAAATATTTTCAACTGTTGATTTTCACTTTTTTATTTTTCTTGGACTCTCATTATCTGGATATTAGTAATTCTCTATCTTTATAGCTCTTCACTTTTCTTTATAGTTTCTATTCGTTTTCTCATTTTTCTGTGAGTTCCTCAATTTTATCCTCCAGCTTAGTCATTTTTTGTCAGCTATATCCATTCAATTTTTAATCTCTTCTATGTTCTCAATTTCAACTATTCTGTTTTTATATGTAAGATTCAGTATTTCTGGTTCTTCTTTATATTATGTCTTTCTGTTTCATATTACTTAGATCTTTTTTATTTATTTTGGTATGTTTAGTAAACTTATTTTAAATTTTTGGTCCATCTTTTCTAATATCTGTGCTTCTGATGAAATCTGTGACTCAGTTTTTTATTTTTCTTTTGAAATAGTTATGCTTCTCTAATGACTGGTTATCTTCTGAGGTAATGTCTGCTTGTTTTAGGATTGCTGAAGGCTAGAGCTTAGTCTGTGTGCTCCCTATCAGGTTAAGTGGGAGGTGCGGGAAATGGACTCTAAAGTGGAAAGCATTTCTTCCCCTTTGCCCCCAAAAACCAGAGCTAATCATTCCTCATCCTAAGTATCCATGCCTCGAGTTAGGTCTTTATCCTTAATACCCCAAGAAGTAGTAGCCTTAGGGAGAGACACTTCTTAAATTGCAAACCACATGCCCATCTGGGGGATAGGAAGAGGAAGGATGAAGAGGCATCTTCCCAAGCCTACCCCAGTCCCTACAAGATTTTCTCAGCTCCGTGCCCACCCGGCTTCTGCACGGACTGGAAGGTACTCCTGAGTACAGCTGCCTGAGTCACAGTAGCTGTGGAGGCTGGTTCCAGGGCAGCGAATGGAGTGTCATTATGATACCTTCCTTCCTGTGTTATCCTGTCACTGTAGACTCCCTTCCTTCCATTCTAGGATAAAGCCAGCACCAACACCCCTACTCACTCCCACACAAATGTAGTAGTTCAGAAGAGCTCTGTGTCTCCCCAGGGGTCTCTCAGTTTCCTTCTCATTTTGATGTCGTTCCTTTACAGCACCTTCAGGGTTGGTCTTGAGAGAGGAGCTACCAGAACCAGAAGCAGGACTTGCTGTTCCTTCTGCAGTGTTCTCCGACCTACTCAGACATAATACCTACTTAACTCCTGTTTGCACTTCCACATGACACCTCATATCTCTAATTTTGGCAGATAGCTTTCCAAACATTACTTTTTCTCTGTTTTCTTGCAAATTTTTTTCTGCTTAATTTTCGTTTTACTTTGGGTTACTCTGTCAATTTTCCATATCTTTCAACTGCTTTTTAAAACATTGTTCGTCTCATATCTCCATGCTGCATTGTAGTTAATTAGATAATCTTCCAATTCATTTAATCTCCTTTCATAGGTGCCCATTTAGTATTTTTTCTGTCTAATGAGGTATGTTTGTCTGTGTATATTTCTTTCTTTCTTTTAGAGACTAGGTCTCACTCTGTTGCCCAGGCTGGAATGCAGTGGAATGATCATAGCTCACTGTGACCTCAAACTCCTGGGTGCAAGTGATCTTCCCACCTCAGCCTCCCAAGTCACTGGGAGTTCATCACTACGCCTGGCTAATTTTTTAAATATTTTGTAGAGACAAGGTCTTATGTGATATTTCCCGGGCTAGTCTTGAACTCCTGGCCTCAAGCAATCCTGCCTTGGCCTCCCAAAGCACGGGGATTACAGGCATGAGCCACCACACTCTGCCAGGTTTTTATTCCAATAACTCTGTTTTTCACTTAGAGAACGTCTCATTACTTCTTAATTGTATCCATTTGTACCTATTTCATATCTGCCTGTTTTTATTACTTGATTTTTATTACTGTAAATGTTATCTTTTCCATTATTTTTTAAGACTACATGTACTCAGTTTTAAATACTTTCTGGATTTCTTTATTAGATTGACTTTTTCCAGAGTGATTTGGTTTTCTGTTTTAGAATATTGGATTATACACTCATCTTAAGTAGCTCAAGTTTTTGTCTGTTCATCTTTCTCTCTCTGTGTCCTTTCTCCTTCCTGCTTAACAGTTTTTCATTTGCCTCCTCCTGACACCTGGAACCATTCATCCACATTCAGGACCTGCCAGCAGCTTGGCATTGCTTTCTTAGCTGGTATCAGAGATATTGCAGATCTGGTCCCTAGAAAAAAGGATGCCATATTTTAACTGCTAGAGAAGTTTGTGTCCTCTCACCTATCCAAGTCTAATACTTTTAAAAGCCACAAACCCAGGCTGTGATTGATGACAGGTTATTTCAGCTTCCTTTGTAAGTGGGGATCCTGATGCCCGAGCATAATTTCAAGGAGGGAGCCCATATTCAGCACTCCTATCTAGAATTGATACTCTAGCCTTCAAGAGTTGAGCTCCTGATGTTCTGTACCATTTTCTGTACCCAGAGCACCAAAGGTCCACAGTGTCAACCCCTCCTTACCATTATTTGTTTCTGTTCTGTGAAGATGCTAATCTTGATTTTGAGCATGACTATATCTTTTTAA